CTGGTGGGAAGATGCCTAGGAGGGGCACGGCTGGGTTGAGTGGAATGTCCAGTCTCCACGTTCTGAGGCGTCTCCACACTGATTCCACAGTTCTACAGGATGTGGGTCACTCCCTGTATTAGGGGAAGCTTTCAGATCATCCAGGAGGGTCCCAAAAACCCAAGTGGAGTCGTTTTGTGACCTGGGGCGGAGGCCGAAAGGGTGGTGACTGAGGGTGACGAGGAGAAAAGCAGTTTTCTGAGAGGAGACAACACGTTTCCCGTGTCTGGTTCAGGGGTGCTTGGTGCTTTCTCTTCAGACCACGGTCCCCCTGTTAGGGACCCCAGTCCTACAACAGCCCCCACCTGGCCACAGCAGTGGGGTGCCTCAGAGCAGAAGAGGCATGAGGCAGGGACTGCATGAACTTCTTCTGTGGCTGGAACAGTCGGGGCCAGCACCCCCCTACCTGCCCTCCTGAGCGCTTCTCCCAGCACAAATCCCTCGACCGTCTCCTATGCAGCAGCCGACTCTGGGCTGAGGTCCCAGAACGGGCGGTGGGCATAGCTCTGGGTGCCCTGGGCAGGGACTCTGCCTCTGAGTTTCCCTGGAGACAGGGTCTGAGGGGCCTGGGACCAGAGGGCCACCTGAACCACCCTCCTGGGCCAAAGAGTAGTCATCTCCGTTCTGCCCAAACCTGGCCCGTTCTCCATGCACTGATGTGTGCAGAGCGAGCTGAGCCTGCAACTGGCTCTCAGCAATTAGACAGGGCTCTGAGGTACAGATGCAGGATCTCTGAAGTTAGGCTGCAGTCCCTGTTTCTCTGCCCCGTGATTCTCTAAACTCTGTGACAGGGTGACAGGGTGGGAGGCCGACCCCCCCCCCCCCCCGCCATGCTGTCAACTGGTTTGAGCCTTGAGGTCAGGGGCTGCGTGACTGATTGCCCAGGGCAGAAAGGTGCACCTCAGAGCTGCAGCGCTGGCCTCCGAGCACCAGATGCCGGCTCAGCTGTGCTGTGCAGGCGGCCTTTCTGCGCATCCTCCCCTCTGCTTATCACACTGGGGCTTCAGCCACCTCCCCAGCCCAGCTCACAGCCCTCACAAATTCCCGCCATTCTCACAGTCACCCCCAAGTCACTCCCTTCTTCACAATGAATAAAGTCTGGGTGAGGCCCTGGCTTCAGGCCTTTGTCCTGATAAAGCCTTATTCTGGCCGACTCAGGACCCCTTGCCCCCCTAACACATCTTAGCTCTTTACTCCAGCCATGGGCTGCACGGGAAGAGGTAGACTGGGATTAACTCCCTGGAATTCCCTTGCTGCCCACCTGCTGAACTGGCCTCCACGAGCAGCTCCCGTGGCTGCCCCACTGTGTCACTGTCCCACTCTGGCGCCTGCTGGGACCAGACCACACTGCACTTGGCTGGTTTTCCATAAGTGACCCTCAAAGGCTCGGTCACCAGCCTGCTTTCAGCCCTGATGACCCTTTTCCTTTCCATCCTGCTCTGCAGCCAGAGACCAGGATGAACTGGATGCCTCGCCCAGTCAGCTCAAAAGCAAGGTTTTCAGAGGATTGATAGGCAGTGTTTTCAGGACCCTCAAGAATCCACCCAGCTGGTGCTGGGGATTTAGCTCAGCGGCATAAAGCGCCTGCCTTGCAAGCAGGCAGTTGTGAGTTCAATCCCTGGTTCCGATAAAGAGGAAAAAAGACAAAGAAAAAAAAAAAAAAAAAAAAGAATCCACCCAGGTTCCCCTGCATCGGTGCACATCCCTAAATGAAAAGGGAACGTGGGCCCCGATGGTACCCAGGTGCCCAGCACTTCTCAAAGAGATAGGGCGGTGCCCGGCTTGGACACTGAGTTCTCTGGACCCAGAGCCCTGTGGTAGGCAGTCCGGACCCTGAGTGACTCAGGAGATGGCCTCAGTTCTGCAGGACCTTTGGGGACAGGGTGGGATTTGGGGAGCCGATGGGACAGTGTTCTCAGCAGCACCCATAGGTGCAGTGAAGCCTGGCCCTGGAGGCCCTCTGAGCACTGCCCTGCTCCTCATCAAACATGCGGGCATAGCTTGGCTGCACAGCAGCCACATCTCATTTCCTGTCATATCACACAGGAACAGAACAGGTCTCTCTGGAGAAGCTGCAGGTCCATCTTTTCCTGGGCGCTGGGAAGATGTCGAAGCAGGCCAAGGACAAACCCTGGACACAGCTATTGCCGTGGATGGGCTTTGTGGACTGGGCTGCAGGACCCTCACAGGCCTGGCCCCAGGGGTCAGCGGGGCTCTGAAAGGCATCTCCTGACAGCTCCGGAGCTCTTTGACTCTAGGCCTGAGACTCAGGAAGGCCGAATTCCTGGGGTCTCTAGGGCTCTGTCCTGAAGCCTGTGAGTGGCTCCCTGGCCGGCTTCTGCTGGGACCCTGGATGCTCTCAAGGGTGTCCTTGGATTATCTTCCACCTATTGCCCTGAGGGAGCAGAGCTTTGCCCAGGGGTGGGGTCCCAGCTCAGTGTAGGCATATGCCACTTTCCTTTTTGAGCCTGAGAATCCTGAGTCCAAAATGGGAGGCCTTTCTGGCTGGATGCCTCACTTAGGACGCTGAGGTAGGAGGGTTGTTGTGAGTTTGAGCATAGTTTACATTATGTAGTGAGTTCAAGGCCAACCTGAGCTATGTAGCCATATCCTGTCTCAAAAACCAAAAAGCAAACAAAACAAAAAAGGGCTGGGGACGAATCTCAGTGTGAAGATCTTGGGTGCAATTCCCAGTCCTGCAAAAAAAAAAAAAAAAAAAAAAAAGAGAAAGAGAAAGAAAATCTAAAACATTTCGAGGGAGACAAGCTTCTAAGGATAGGTAGATGGGATACTTTTTTTGGGGGGTGTACTGGGAATTGAACTCAGGACTTTGTGGGATATATTTTTAAAAATACATATGCTAGCTCAAAGGTATAACCCAGCAACATTGCTGGAGTAGGAGGCAGAACAGCAGTTGCTCTGGGTCACCCCAAGCCCTGGGAGCTGTACCCCCAAGCAGGGGGTACGGTGCACTGTGCGTCTCAAGGGGCCCAGGACTGCGTTTTTATGCCGATACTCCAGACAAAGAGAAGAGCCCATCAAATGCCTGCGTTTGTCAGCAGAACTTTGGTAAAATCATTTTGAGGCTTTTGGAAAAGTAATTTTAGACACAGCAGATGCAGGGCATTCCTGCAGCAGAAAAGCCGGCGTCTGGTCGGTGGCTCGGGCTGGGCTGAGCCGGTCCACCCTGAGGGTCTGTGTGGACCCGGCGCTGGTCAGCAGGGTTCTGTAGTTTGATTTCCAGCCCATCGGTCACGTGGGAAACATTATAGAAAGAGGGAATAGCGGTGCACAGACACCAACACCCACCCACAGACCTAACCAAGCAGGATTGAAACAAACTCCATCACTTTGCTTTGAAAATCTGTTAAAGGCAGTCAACCACTGGCTGCTGTTTATACAACTGACTAGATTATCATCCTGGGAATGTTTTTAACAAAGTAGGTATCGGTCACCACTGTGCTTGCCTAGTGATTTTACAAAGGAAAGCAGTGCTGATGTGAGTCTAGGGAGGCCGCCAGGCTGGGTGAGGAGGAGCGGGGCCAGCTGGAGAAGCAAGAAGTCTGGGCAGTTTGGGTAGTTTCCGTGTGTGACTACGGATAGTACTATAGGAACGAATCGTGTTTCAAAAAGATAGATGAAGCCCAAAGGTGGTGGCGTCCACCCTGTAATCCTAGCACTCTGGAGGCTGAGGCAGGAGGATCTCCAGAAATTGGAGGCCAGTCTGATTTACATAGTGAATTCAAGCTCAGCCTAAACTACATGGCGAGACTCTCTCTCTCTCTCCCTCTCACTCTCACTCTCTCAATTATACCTTTCTGTTTACTGAGGGCTTTAACGTCCATAAATTTTTTATAGCTTGACGTGTTGAATCTTTGGCCTACTTTTTAAAGTTTCGCTTGCAGCTACACATATTTACATTTCTGGATGATATCATACACAATATCTATCAATTTCATTTTCCAGTCTTTCACTGTCAATATAAACGAACAAATTGACAAGGGGGCCCGGGTGGCCGCTGGAGCGAGCGCCTCTCCTCCTCTTTCCTCGGCTTGGAGCCCCGCAGAGCCCTGGAGGTGCAAACGCAGACAGTGCGGGGAGCCGCTGAGCTCGGCGCTCCGCGGGCCGGGCCGGCCGGCGTCCTGCAGGGGGAGCCCGCGAGCGGTGCAGGGCCGGCTCGGGCTGCAGCGCGGACCTCGGCGTGCCCACGGGCTGCTCCCCGCGGGGCCGCCAGGGTCCTGACTGCGGAGCGGACGTGCCCAGGGACCGCGAGCATCAGCCCGCGCTGGAACCCACGGCGTGTAACGCACTCCCCGCGTGACGCCGCCCCGTCGGTGTACTCGGGGCGCGTGTGCTCCCGACGTGTGCGCGGGACAGAGAGGACGCGCGTGCGGGGACATCGCGTGGTGCGGGGTCCCGTCCTCCGAGCCGACCCGCGCCTGCCCCAGGCGGTGCGCGTGCCCTGCGGGAGGAAGTAGCCGGACTTCACATACCCTCCCCTCCGCCCTCACCGCGGGGGCCCAGAGTCCTGCACACCCTTGCGCCCCCCCCCCTTTTTGGAGATAGGCTGGCCTTGAACTCACTGTGTAGCCCGAGGCCTTGAATCCACTCAATCCTACTGCCTCAGCCTCCAGCAAGTGCTAGGATTGCAGGCGTGTGTCACCACACCCGGCTTCCCCATTTTTATTCACTGTAGCTTTTTTTAAAATTTAGGGATCGTAGCATTGAAAAAGACACAACTTTTCTGCGTCTCTGGTCTCTCTGTGCAAACAGCTCCCGGCCTGGGGTTCCAAGAGCAGAAGCCTCTCCCAGGCCGGCCGATGCTCTGGGGGTGGACCCTGCGTCCCGCGGCCGATCCCCACCCGCCCAGCCTCCTCCCCAGATCCCAGCTCCCGCCCCTCCGGCCGCTCCGTCCCCTCCTCTAACTCCTCCTCCAAGTTGAGTCAGTGGCTTGAAACTTTTAAAAGCTCTGAGCTCCCGGCCCGAGCGGCTCTGGAGGTCTCGGCGCTCTCCCTGCAGGAGGAGGCCGAAGGAGCCTGTCCCTGAAGCAGCGGCAGCTCAGCTCGCTCGGCGCGCCCCCGGCTCTGAACCTTCCTGGCCTCTGGGCCCCGCGTACCCCGTTTTTGAGGACAGCGGCCGCCAGGCCAGCCTGCTTCGCAGCCACAGCGTGAGTGAGGCGGGTACAGGCGTCCCGTTGGTTTCTCTTTCTGCAGAGGCTTTGCTGGAATCCGGGTCGCGCGGGGGGCCGGTACTGCTGTCGCGGGAAGGAGGCCGGTGCCCGCTAGCCCGTCCCGGTGCTCGGCGGCGTCCCGAGCGCGTGTGCGCATTGTTCTGAAAGCGCCTGTTGCCAGCGAGGCAGGCAGAGGTTGCAGCCCTGTGCACCCGGGCAGCAGCTTGCTTGGGACCCCAACTCCGAGCTCGGTACGCTGCTAGGGCCTGGCCTGGGCAGCGCACTCGAAGGACACCGCATAAGTTGGGGTGCAGGTGGGACTACACTCCCTGCGGTTGGCCACCCTCCAGGCGTTCTGCCGTGGCGATGTGGGTGGACGGTCCACGCCTGGGCAGGGCAGAGCGGACGCCTTTGTGGTCGAGTGCTTTGTTAGGCCGGCGGCTCCTGGGCTTCCACGTGGCTCCTCCTGGGCTCCCTGGATTAGGAAGGCTGGGGCTCTGGAGTTGAGGCCCAGCCTGTGTGGGGCACTAGGAGAGGGCACCCAGTGCAAGGCAGCAGTGCAGGGCAGGCAGAGCTACCTGCAGTGGGGATCAACCCATAAGTGAGGCCCGGCTTGCCCCAGGGCGCTGGGAGAGGAGCAAGTGTTGGGAGGCTCTGGGCTGGGTCAGGACCTGGTTCCTGGGAGGCCAGGAGGTGGCCCCACAGCCCCAGGGCTCCCCAATGCTGGGTGTGATGCTGGGCACCCAGGAGCAGCCATGTGTGCGAGGATCTGAGCTGAAGCCGCTGGTCTAGACTCATAGGCGGCCCAGCGAGAGGCTGAGGCAGTGAGGTGCAGGCCCAGGAACTTGGGCCGCAGAGGTCCTCGGGTCTTGGGTGGTGTCCTTGGGCCCCCAGGGCCACCCTGGGCATGAGCAGCAAGAGAAAGGATCATTGGGCCTGGGGACAGGATGGCACCTGGTGGAGACACAAAGGTGCCGCAGGAACAGCGGTCTGTGATGCAGTGGGGGGGGGCTTCCTCGACCACCTGGAGGCTGCCCTGACTTGGTCCCCTGGGAAATGTGACCTTCACTGTACACCGGGGTGGCAGGAGAAAAAGGCCACACCCCGAGGGACAACCTGGGCACCCAAGTCCTGTCACCACCAGGGACTCCCAGAGCTGGAGGACCCGGGAGCGCTCCTGGCCAGGCCGGCCTTGAGGCGTCCTCACCAGGCTTCTGTGTCCCCAGAGTCAGCGCTGTGGCCACTTGTCCCTGGCCTACCACCTTCAGCTGCCCACAGCCTCCACTCGGCCCTAGGTGTTTCCAAGGTGTGCAGAGGGGAGGGCGGGGGCCGCGCTTCGGGACTGCTCCGTGCTCCCCGATGAGGCAGACATCCGACTGCATCGACTGAGTTGGGAGCCCGGGCTAACACAGCCAGCACCCTCAGGTGTCTCTAGAACGCTCCTTGGTCCAACAAGTATGCTGCTGGCCAAGAAGGAGCCTGTCTGCAGAGTTCCGCCTCCATGACCGTGGCTGTCCTCTAGCGGGGGGTACAGCCTCAGTAGTCACCAGACTCAAGCCATGGTAGGAAATTCCGTGCGCTTCACATCCCAGCGGGTTTCCTAAGTTTTTAGAGACTGTATGCCTGTTCACTGTTTCAGTGGTCATTTGCTAAAGAAAAGTTATCAAAACCAGGCAAATAAATGAGCCACAACTACAGAACCTATTACAAAGTCCTGGCTGCACTTTGCGGGGTACTAAGCCTGTGTTTTCGAGTGAGTGCGGGGCTCTTACAGAAAACCCGAGGAGCCCGTGGGAGCAGCTGGGTGACTTTGGTGCAGCACTGTCCACTGTCTGGGAGAAACTCTGGACAGCCAGCCAGGGAGGCAGCACATGGTTGTAATCCCAGCGCAATGGGTGGCTGAGGCCCGAGGGTCGCATGTGGAGGCCAACCCGAGCATCTCAGCAAGAAGATCCTGGTTCAAAAATAAATTTATAAAAACCCCTTTGGAGGTAGGGGTGGGGCTAGGGAAGCTTGGATGGAAATAGACTTTTGAGGTTACTCAGATCCCCACTGAATATCATGACTCCTGGCCTTGGGGTTACCTCCGATTCCCCAAAGTGACTGGAGGAAGGGGAGAGAGCAGGGTGGCAGCGCTGTGTGTCTTCTGTCCCCACCCCGTGCTGGGGAAAGGACGCACTGGGATGTCCAGCTCTTGTGAGCAGCTGCGTCCCCTTTCCCCAGGGAGAATCCATGACTGTCACCGTCCCTCACCAAGGAGTCGGAGGTGGCCAAAGTGTCTGTGCACAGGCAGAATGGGACAGGAGTGCAGTTTACATGGATGGGTTCTGGGGCCCCTGGTGCCCAGTGAGGACACAGGGTGAAGGTGACCAGGGCCAGGGCATTCCTGTAGGCCAAGCAGAGCTGTGGTCTTCACCTGGGTGACACAGCCCTGCACTGCCCTGCCCAGTACTGTCATAGGCTGCAGTCACCAGCTAGGGTGCCCTGAACTCTGGCTGGACAGAGTTCTCAGTGCGGTCCTGGAGCTGCGTGGGCGCCCCTAAAGCTGCCCACGCACAGCTCTGCCCAGCCGCAGCAGTGTCACTTGGAAACTTGCCCTGACAGGGAGGCGCTGTGCCGCTCCTGTCTCTGTCTCCGCTTGCCCTTGAAACTCTGGAAGTGTGAGGTGCCCAAGGACAGCCAGAGAAACCGCACCATTGGTTCATTCTTTTGGGGGAGGCACACAGCCAGCACAGAGGGTTTGTACAGGTCTCTCAGACAGTGGGGTGCGTGCCACGGGTCAGCCCCAGCCCCCTGAACCACAGTGGTAGATGGGAGCCCTTCCTATGCTGGGACAGTGATGACACCCACAGACTCACACCAAGTGGACTCAGCTGCACCTTACACAGGGGATGGGGAGGACTTCGCTGTCACTCAGAGTCAGGAGCCCTGGCTCTGAGCATGGCTGGGTGGCAGGCGGGGTGACCAGGCTGAGAATAGATGCCATAGGGATGCAGGCCGAGGGTCTGGGCTCCCCACAGCCTGGATGAGGTTGTGCGCATCCTGCCAGGGTATGAATATTGCCCAGGTTGGGAGTCGGAACCGGCTAGCTGAGCTTACCACAGGGCAGGGGCTCTGCACGGCGTTGTGGGATCTAGGATGGTGGACCTGTGGGTTCTGGCTTCCGTGGACCCCCCACTCCACACAGCTGGATGGTGTGATAACTTGATTCCTCCTCGAGCTCCTCTTCCATCCTTAGCCCAGTGATCAGCGGCCCTGTTTACCTGCATTTGTGGCCCTGCTATCTCTTCTTGGGAAATGGAAAGTGAGAGTTTCTAAGAACTGTGCAGGTTTTTATTAGGACAGAGCCACCACATCTTCATAATAGAAGCAGCCACCACTAAGGAGGCTTCCTCGCAGGCTGGTGAGGAGGGCAGAGCCGCTGGGGCCCTAGACAGCATAGCACACCCCTCCTTGCCTCACTGACAGCGTTCCTATTTCTAAACACTTTGAGCAGGAAAACACCTGAAAAACCACTGTCCACCTGGACGCTTGCTTTAAAAAGTGACAAAAAGTAAAAACTTCCAGGCCCCTGCAGTGCAGGGACCCCAGAGGGAGGGGCGGCCGGTGCTCCACCTCAGTCCCCACCCCACTGCCCAGACACTCACACCGTGTCTCCGGGACTGCTGTGTTGTGTGCAGTCCAATTCCAGTTCCACAGAAGCCAGAGAACTTGGTGACAGCTGCTGGGAGCATTTACACAGTTAGACTTGACTTCAAAACCAGGCGCAAAGGCCCCAAGCCCTAATACCAGCACTGGGGCTGAGGCAGGAGGGTTGCCCGAGAGTTCCAGGGTTATCTGGATTGCATAGTGGGAGCCCGTCTCAACAAACAAATTAGGGAAACGAAACAAAACGAAGAAAGATTTTACCTTGAATGAGGAGGGAAAGCCTGGGTGGTGTGCCGTCCTCCCGGGGAAACTCCCTGGAGCTCCAAGCTGTGCTCCAAGGTAGCAACCTTGCAGATTTTTTAAAAAACATGTTCACCATCAGTGAGTCCTCCCCTGGAGCACTGGCTGGCTGTGTAAGCCCCTGCCAGCCCCACACGGGACACTCCCACCCCAGGCATCCATGCCACACAGAGATGCCAGTACTGCGACGAGGTGTCCACGCAGCTGTGTGTGTTCCATCGCTGTGGGGCTTGGTGCATGGGGGTCACGTGGCTTGGCCCTGTGACACTGGTCAGTGACTGCTGGGCAAACAGCGGCATCAGGAGATGCTGCAGAGGGACTCGGGTAAAGTCCAGCTGCCTCTCCCCATGCCAGGTATCTGCCCCCCGGTGGGGCAGCAGGGTCCAGCCCAGCCCCGGGAGGCTGCCCTTTTCATGGGACCATCAAGTGAGCAGAGGCGCCTGCCTCCTCAGGGACACAGCTTCTGCTCAGAGCCGATCGATGTCTGGACTCAAATCCACTGTGGGGTGTGGTGGGCACAAGGCCTCTGGGGGTGGCACGTGAGACAGGAAGCCTCTTCGGTTGGCAGTGTGCTTATCCTGCTCTTGGAGAAGGCCAGGAGGCTGCCAGACCATTTGCAGTACTCTGGCTGCCAGCACTTGGGAGGGTGGGGCTCTGTGGGGCCCTGTCTCCGAGATCTGTCGCTCAGGAGTCACGCGCTGTTCTTGTCTCTGCAGGTGGTCAGCAGGCAGCCAGCATGGGAGACTGGAGCGCCCTTGGGAAGCTCCTGGACAAGGTCCAGGCCTACTCCACGGCGGGGGGCAAAGTGTGGCTGTCCGTGCTGTTCATCTTCCGCATCCTGCTGCTGGGCACAGCGGTGGAGTCGGCCTGGGGCGACGAGCAGTCAGCCTTCCGTTGCAACACGCAGCAGCCGGGCTGTGAGAATGTGTGCTACGACAAGTCCTTCCCCATCTCACACGTGCGCTTCTGGGTGCTGCAGATCATCTTCGTGTCGGTGCCCACGCTGCTCTACCTGGCACACGTCTTCTACGTGATGCGCAAGGAGGAGAAGCTGAACAAGAAGGAGGAGGAGCTCAAGGTAGCCCAGACGGACGGCGCCAATGTGGAAATGCATCTGAAGCAGATCGAGATCAAGAAGTTCAAGTATGGCATCGAGGAGCATGGCAAGGTGAAGATGCGTGGTGGGCTGCTGCGCACCTACATCATCAGCATCCTCTTCAAGTCGGTCTTTGAGGTGGCCTTCCTGCTCATCCAGTGGTACATCTATGGCTTTAGCCTCAGCGCCGTCTACACCTGCAAGCGTGACCCCTGTCCCCACCAGGTGGACTGCTTCCTGTCGCGCCCCACCGAGAAGACCATCTTCATCATCTTCATGCTGGTGGTGTCCCTGGTCTCGCTGGCCCTCAACATCATTGAGCTCTTTTACGTCTTTTTCAAGGGCGTCAAGGACCGAGTCAAGGGCAGGAGCGACCCCTACCACCCGGCTGGCGGCCCGCTAAGCCCCTCCAAGGACTGCGGTTCCCCCAAGTATGCCTACTTCAACGGCTGCTCCTCGCCCACTGCGCCGCTCTCACCCATGTCCCCACCCGGGTACAAGCTGGTGACCGGGGACAGGAACAACTCCTCCTGCCGCAACTACAACAAGCAGGCCAGTGAGCAGAACTGGGCCAACTACAGTGCGGAGCAGAACCGCATGGGCCAGGCGGGCAGCACCATCTCCAACTCCCATGCCCAGCCTTTTGACTTCCCTGACGACAACCAGAATTCGAAGAAGATCTCAGCGGGACATGAACTCCAGCCCCTGGCCATCGTGGACCAGCGGCCGTCCAGCAGGGCCAGCAGCCGGGCCAGCAGCAGGCCCCGGCCCGACGACCTGGAGATCTAGACCCCGTCTTGGAGCTGTGGGGTCCACTTGGTGGTGGAGAAGAAGTGGTGCTGGAGGACAGGCATCTTGTGTTCCTTTGTTCCAGCGAGGTGGTACTCGGCGGCCCTCCTTGGAGGCCTGGGACAGACTGACGTAGCATTGTAGGTTCTCGGGGGCACGGGACAGGCGGGGGGTGGGCGGGAGGGTGGGAGGAGGTACATGCTGGTCTTTCACGTAGTGGATTCCGAGGACTCTGGCTCTCCCCAGAGTTGTGTAGGTGAGATGTAGTTAAGGGCTTTTCTCCCCCACACCCCGGAGCGCCTGTGTGTGTGTGTGTTTTTGTGTGTGACAGGGGGGCTGATGGTTATGGCTGAATATATTGTTTTAATGTTTATTTTCCCAAGAAACCGAAATACCTTTGGCCAGGAACAGACACTTCCTGAACACCCTCTTTCTTTCCATGAGAGAAAGACGAGGCCTGTGCTTGGTCTTCGCTGAAACATTCCATTGTTGCGTTTGCACTTGGAGGGCGCTGTCCAGGCTGCCCCTGTGGGCGCCCTTGGACATGCACGGCTCCGTTGTTTATTATTATTATTGTTGTTGCTGTTCTTGACGTCAGAAGTTCCGACAAGGCCCTGGGGTGGGCGACCTGCTGCACATCCAGCCCGCTCATGCAGCCCTCAGCCCACCGCTGCCCAGTGCCCAAGGACTCTGCCGGACACACTCGGTATCACTTACCACGCTTCTGAGCGCACGTCAGGGAAACAAGCCATGCCTGGTATCTGACAGTTGAGTGCGTGTGTGTGCATGTGTGTGTGTGTGTGCGCAGGCGTGTGCGCACGTGTGTCTTATTCGTCGTGGATTGGTACAAAAGGTGCAGCACAGACTCCCAAATGCGGATTTGAAAGCAGCACACACGGCATACAAGGCGTTCTGACCCGATCCTTTTCCGGGGCCTCGGGTGTGGCCCTGTGTTTACATTGTAAGATTCCTGCTGTGCCAGCCTGGCCGAGCAGCTTTTCCCTAAAACTTTTTCCCTGGTGTCCTCCTGTGGATGCCGGTTTTGTTGATTACAGTTTTTTTGGTCTCTTTTGCTCTTTAGAATGTAGCAGTAATGCTATTACCGAAATGAATGATTTCCTTTTTTCTGAAATATAATCACTGATGCTTGAATGATAGGTTTAGTACTGTAAACAGGCTTTAGTCCTTAATGTGAGAGGCTTAGGAGAAATGCTTCGATGGAGCTGTTGCTGCCTGTGCCTGCCTGGATTCGAGGCAGCGGGTGATCTCAGTCGTAGCCTACTTAACACACATGGATTCAGAACGCATCCTGTCTGGGGTCTACGGTCTCGGGTGGCCAGCAACTTCGATGTTTGCACTAAGATTTTATCTGGGACCCAAGAGAAGCTGAGGTTTCAGGAGTGCACATGTAACTAATTTATTTGAACTGTATGCTAAAGACATCGGCCAGTTTCTTCAAGTGCCTTTTTGAAACTCGTCATGTGTGATCGGTGAAAATCTGAGGTTCCTTTTTCCTTCTCGCCCATCAGCTGCATAGAACAAATGGTTTTCAACAGCAGAAAACACTAATGCGTCTGACATTCCACATTAAGCCACTGTTGTGGTCGGCTTCATTGCATGTAATGTAACCTGGCCCATTGGATTGTGTGTTCTGGAGTGTTCTTTATTCAATAAAGGTTTAATTTAGTAGAAATGCTGCCTGTGTATTGTGTGATTTTTTTCCCCCATCATACCTCTTGTAAATAAAGATTATCAGAGATATTTCCATGGGTAAATTTATTATATTTTTGGAGTTTTGGGGGGATTTTTCCCAGTGGACCAGGAACTTGCTGTGTAGCTCAGGTTGACCTCACACACCTGCCTCGGCCTGCTGAGTAGTGGATCTCTGGTGTATACCACCACGCCTAGCTCTGGGGATCTGTAAAGCGAGAGCATCAACTGTCAGCTATTTCAGTGCAGCCACCAACTGTAGATATGTTTGGATGTCAAGTGGTAAGACAGAATACCCCAGCATGAGAGACTGAACCCCAGTTCTTCTGACACCGAGCTACACCCAGCTGGTGTCCAGCTTTAGTGGGGGACCTGTGGTTGGCCTGAAGACAGACAGGGTAGCAACGACTATCTGGGGGCTCAGGTGCTGCCATTTCAGAGCCAGCACAGAACAAGGTGAGCTCTGAGTCAGGACTGCGGAGAGCGAAGGGTGAAAATACTGAGCTAGAATCTGAACAGTTTGCCCTCAAAGAAAAATCAAGCACTCAAAAGTGACAGGTACTCCAGGCAATCAACAAGGTGCTTGTACTTTTATTTATTTATTTTAAAAAGAAAAAAAAAATAACAGTATTTCAAACAAAATAGTAGGAAATTGTACTCAAAGCAAGAGATGTGCTCGGGGTTTCAAGCCACTTCAAGAAAATTCCTGACTTTCCGGGTTCTTAGCGACCACAGAATCAAGACTCAATCTGGAGCCCCAGGATTGCAGTGTCAGTGGGGTCACTGCTCCATAGGGACAGCAGTGTGACTCACCTGAGGGCCCCTGGTTCTGGCTCTGCTGCTCCTTGAGTCAGCCTGGCTCTGTGGATGGCTGACCTTGATCTCCCTGAGGATGCAGCTCCCAGACCGCCCTGCCTGGGCCCTGTGGCCTCTGCAGTTGCTGCCAGGGTAAGCGGGTACAAGGTGTGTGCTGCCCAGGCGCCTTGGTGACTGCGGGGCTGCTGTGCCCGCGCCCCACACTTGTCCCATGCTATGCTGCAGGCCAGCTCCAGGCTCCCACGAGAAAGGCTGACTGCTGTTTGTTTCCATTCCTGTACACTGGGTGACTGCAGAAAAACAGGATACCGCAAGGCCCTTTGAGTCTTAAAATCTTAACAGAATTCCTTGTTCTGTGAATAGTAGAAATCCTTATTCTAAGAAAGCGTTTATGCTTATATTATAAAGAATCCTTTTGTTGGACAATCATCTGTGAGCATTGTTTTAATTCAGAATTTTTATATAAAAATTTCAGCTTATTTTCCAAAGTGCCAACATTGTCTATTTTTTTTCATTTTTTGTTTGTTTGTATTTACTTATTTATATGGAGACAGGGTCTTACCATATAGTTCCAGCTGGTCTTGAACTCACTATGTAGCCCAAGCTGGCCTTAATCTCATGGCAGTCCTCCTGCTTCAGCCTCCTGAGCTCACAGCTGGCTGGGTGGGGCCAAGGAGTGGGCTGTTCCTCCACTGGCCAGGTACACAGAGCCATAGTGGTCAGCTCTGGGGTCTGCAGAGAGGAGGAGTGGACAGGACAGGAAAGAGGGAAACCCTGGAGGAGCCTTGAAGCCTGAGCCTCAGAGCTCAGAGTCTTTTCTGGGCCCTCATGATTCCCTGAGTGCCCTGCCCACAGGGTGTAACTCACAAAGGGCACCCACAGGGGGGGGGCCCAAGTCCATCTGGGGGACTGGGTGGGGCACAGGGCTTCACTGCAGCCCCCCTTTTTTACGTTTTATCTTGAGACAAGGTCTCACTAAGTTGTTCAGGCTGAGCTAGAATCTGGGACTCTCCTGCCTCAGCCTCCCAGAGCAATGGGATTAGCTGCCTCAACCCAACTCTTAAATGCCTTGAGCTGTCTGCCCCAGCGCACAGGATGCCAAGGGCCTGTCTGCTCCCAATGTGTGGCTGGGTCTCACCAGCCACATGACTTTACAGAATGACTAAAAAGACTGAGTCAGTAAAATTTTTAGTTGCTTTCGTAACAGACCAAGGAGTATGTGGTTGGGCACGATGGCACACACCAGTCCTTAGGAGGCTGAGACAAGAGGATCCATGGGTTCAGGGCCAGCATGGGTTACATGCTGAGATCCTGTCTCAAACCCTTCCCCCTAACCCCCTTCCCCGCACAAAACACAAGTATAAAGCTAACCATGGTAGCACCTATCTATAATTCCAACATTTGGGAGGCTGAGACAGGAGGCTTACAAAGTTCACACTCACCTAGGATACACTACTAAGGTCTGCTAAGAAAATCAAAAAATAAATAAAGGGAAATGTAGGATTGTACTCTGCTCAGGAAAACTCAGGCCAATTTGTTACCCACTGCAGATACTCAGAAATGCTGATGGACCTGAAGCAGGGTAACAGATTTATTTTTGTTTTTTGAGCCAGAGTCTCACTATGCATCCCATGCTGGCCTGGAAGCCATGATAATCCTCCTGCCTCAGCCTCCCAAGTACCAGGATTACTGGCACGGTGCCACCACTACTCCTGGCTACTTTTCTCTATTTCTGGACCCACTTGCTCTTGACAGCATTTTTTGGGGGGTGGGGTATCCAAAGTTCCGTCTCAGGGGTGTGATCTTGCTTTCAGAACTCACCTATGTCAGAGGTGCCAGGTGGTCTGGGAGCTGAACCTGGCATTGCAGCGCACTGTGGCTTTGATTTCAGGTGAATCAAACCTGCAGCAAGGCTCACCTGCGCCATGTGCTCTGCCCACGAGACATCTCATGATACACCGCTCCATCACCGGAAGAGGACAGGTAAAACCTTACTGCAAGGTGGAGTTTCCCTTGTAGCCTAGTTCGTCTGTCCATCTGTCCTTCCTTCCATCCGTTCTTCCTCCCTCCCTCCCACTGCTTGTTTTGAGACAGGGTTTCCATGACACCAGGCTGGCCTTGAACCCTAGGCTGGCCTGGAGAACTTGAACCAATTCCGCCTCAGCCTCCTGTGGGCTCACATGGGGCCCAGCGTGCCCGGCTCCTGCAGCCCCATCCTCTGTACCCTTACCACTTCTTGAGCCCACACTGGTGACTTTCCGGTCAGGGGGCTGAGGACAGGTGTCCATGTCTGCTCTGCAGCCCGAGTCCTGCTCTGTAATCAGCTGCCCGCCTGCTCTGAGCTCCTGCTTCCGCCCCAGGGTAAGTGCGGGGTGCTGGCTGCATCCTCGCCTGGCCTCCCCATTTTCAGCAATTTCAGGTTTGACTGCACATGGCTGTGGCCCAAACCTTCTCCAGGCCACGCTCAGGCTACCCAGGCCCTTGGGTAAGAGCCTGGTGCGGGTGACAGCTGCTCGCTGGCCCAGGACAGGATGGGACCCAGCTTGACCAGGATGCGGGCAGGTGGGCAGGACTAGACAGCTCTGTCACAGCAGCGGAGGTGCCACAGCCCCTGGGGAAACACCCAGCAGGGAATAGACTGCTTCTGGTTGGGCCACCAGCACTCCAGCTCAGCAGCAGCTTCCTTCTCCCAAGGGCCCCTCCTCCTCCTCTGCCCGCACCTCTGATGGCCACAGGCACTGGGGGTGGAGGTGGGGTGGGACAGCCTGGGGTCCCCAGAGTTCCTGACACTCACAGACAGGAGCTGTGGCTGCTTGAAAGAGCTCAGAAACTTTGATCATCAGTAAGAACAGGCTGAGGCCAGGGGGTTGTGACTGGACTCAGGAGGCTAAGGGGAGAGGAGGATGAGCTCACAGCCAACCTGGGCTACGTGGAGGTTCAAGGCCGACCTGGACAGAGACGCTGTCACAGCCAGAATGACTAACATAGTCCTCTGTGTGAAAGAATATTCTATGCAAAACGCTGGACACAGAAGAGAAACCAGCAAAGCAGAGGTCTGAAGGAGCCTCTTGAGGACACACCCGGGTATGGTACAGACTATCTGGGAGGCTGAGGCAGAAGGACTTCTTGAGGCTAGGAGTTCAAGACCAGCTGGGCCACTCAGGGAGATCCCATCTCTAAAACCACCTACCTAGCTAACTAGCTACCTAACTAGCTCCCCAACTAGCTAACTAACTCATGAGCTGAGTGTAGCTGTGCTTGGGTCATAGCTGCAGAGATGTGCAAATGGCCAGTGGCAGGCAGCCTCGGCACCCTGGAATCAGAACTGTCAGGCTTGCCTTCCCTCTCTGGTTCACTCTTCATTGTCTTGCTCAATTTTTTTCCTTCTCTTTTCTCCTTTTATTTGCTCTCTTCCACTTTCTTGTTTACCTTCTCTTTATTTATGTTTAATTTTCAGTTTTTTGAAGCAGGATTTTGCTGTGTAGCCCAGGCTGGGCTTTGAAGTCAAGGTGACCCTCCTGCCTCAGCCTCCGAGTGTTGGGATCACAGGTGTAGCCATCACGCGGTGACTTCTCCTCCTTTAGCAGTGAAAGCATCAAGCAGCAGAAGCAAACTCTCTCCTTACAAAGCTCCTCTGCTCGCTGCCCACTCGAGTCCTGCATGACCACAATGGTGCAAGCCTGTCATCCCAGCACTCAGCAGGCTGAGGCGTCTCCTCACTGTGCATGGCTACACGGCACTGACCGCCAGGCCCCGGACCCAGGCTATGGGCCTGGCTGGCACTCAGTTCTTTGGTTTGGTTCTGCTTTTCTGAGACAAGGTCTCCCTATGTGTTTTGGTTGGCCTTGAACTCCAGGTGTCACATGCTATGATCCCCACATTCGGGAGGCTGAGGCAGGAGGATCCTGAATTGGAAGCCACTGTGGGTTGTGTCCAGAGTTTGAGCCCAGGTTGGATGGGGAGGACACGCTCGTGGGGTAGCCAGGCTGAGCAAAGGAAGACCAGTGTCCCCCCACGAAGTGAGGGCCCGCAGGCCATGGACATCTCGTGTCTAGCCCTGGCCTCTGAGGCTGGGGGGACCTTGATTCCAGGGTGGCAGGCAAGCTCAGTACTCCACAGTCCTCTTCCATTTGGGACGCCCAGGCCCAAGGTTCCAGTCTTGTCCCA